ATACTAATTTATTGAGACAAGTCAATAAATTGGTTCATTCCGGCTTCTTTGTAGACTCGGCATTGCCGGCCGAGGAAATGCAAATCCCTCTTCCATTGTTTGGTGAATTGGAGTCTTAGAGCTTTCTTTCCAATATTGAATTCTCTCTTGCAAATTTACTATCTGACGAAAAACCATTGAATTCATTATTGAGTTTTCTGTACATGGCTAATTTGTTTTAGCATAACCTTAAAAGATTTAATTTCTCTATTTTTAAATATTCATATAATATCATAGAGATAATGCAAAATGTATCAAAATCAAAGATATACGAATTTACTAAATTTACGTTTATTAATTTTTCTCATTCCATAACAAATCCAGTTATACATTGGTCCTTTAGCAAAAATATAATTAAATTCCATTGATTTCCACAATGAGTGATATTTAAGTTCCCGCATTTTGTATCAACTAACTACTGTGTACCATTGGGCAATTGTTTATTTCACATGTAATACCTAATCAAACGTATATTGAATAATTCCTAATGTATGATTTAAACAGATTTTAGCTAATGTTTGTCCGATTTAAAACATTATGTTCTTTTTCAGTGAAAACCTCCATCTAATTCTAGGATTTCAGTCGCATATGAACTTACAGTTTTGTATAAAACTTCTCCATCTTTGACGGAGGTTTACTTTGGTCAAGTAATGGCGTCGTTCACAAAAGCAATATATACGTGCGTAACATCACCAGCAAAACAATAAAAACAGCCATAACGTAACCTCTAACACAATATTGCTTATGTTAGAAGTTATTGCCCTTCTTTACAACGTGATCCGAGGCAACAGCGTAAAGTGGAAATTTACGTTTGTTATGCTGTTAAATGCCTTCTCAAGCAATAATGTACTTAAAAGAAATGTGGTTTTTTAGGCAATAATAAGCTAACTAATCGTTGGTTTTCATTTTTAGGCATAATCTGAACATAATTTAAAAGGTTTATATTCCGTTAACAAAATTTAGTTAGTTTAGGGAAAGAAATATATTCCATCCACCACTTGATCTTACCTTTTAACAAGTTCAACAGCTGAAGTTTGCTAACCCGTCAATCAGTTGCAACATACTGTTTACATTAAGTAAAGTAGTGGGGAACATCCGTAAAAACCGCCTAAATTTTATGAATGGACTATAACGCTGTTGTGATTCAAAGGACAGAATACTAATAGGAAATGTATCCATATATAAAGCTCAAAGTACCCATGAACTTTTGAGAAAACTACAAGTCACACCCCCATAAACCATATAGGCCTACTTAAAATGTTCGTCATGACGAGAAACCTTGCGCAAAATATAAATTGCCCTTTAAGGTCGTAATTTCTTTCTAATGGTAACTTTCCATATATCTAATGTTAAAAATACCTCAGCTGAACTTATTTACTTATTTGTTTGTTATTCTTTCAATTTATTACTTTATTAAAATCAGTGTGATTATTCGTTTGTATTACTGTATTCTGCTTTGTTTATTTCAGCTTAACGTAACCAATCAATAGTTTTATTAATACTTATGTAGTCAAACGGGGTGAAGCCCGTGGGTAACAGCTAGTTGTAATTAAAACCTTATCTTGAAAACTAATTTAATCAACTCATGTGACATGATTTGCTAGCTGATACGTGATAAAAAAAGTATTCATAGTTAATTTGTCTTACTATAGCCTACATAATAGTGTTAAGGATTAGTAAGGATGTCGAAGCGTCATAAAATAGTTATTGTACCAATTATTAACAAATCATCAACATATTCATACTTAAAACAGTCAAGGGCTCAAATTCACATTTAAAGATCTTACAGTGTTTTATTAAGGAGGGCGGCTTGGATGTAGTCAGATAGTCTTGAATTAGCGTATAAATCAACAAACATTTGATTTGAATGGGTTAAGAATAGTTACCCGTTAAGTTTAGATTGAATTGTTTGACTGTATTGCACCAGGTTTGAAGCATGTACATCCCATCCTTAACTTTCTTTAAATATTTTTCTGTGACACATTTAACTATGATCCTCAGAAATTCAAAACAGTTTACATAAAATTACGTTAAACTACTCCTTAAAGGAGTCTTACAGGATCAACAGTACCTTCTTGAGAGGCTCTCCTTCAGGAAGGAGGTCTCTATGCACACAACCCTCCATGGAAGTCTCCTGCTTCACTTTCCAAGAGTTGGTAAGGAGAAACTTCTCGCACTTTGACCCAAAGGTTTCCAATTATCTCCTTTCTGTCCAAAAACGTATGCATTGCCATCTTTGGGGTCCCCAAATTGGGGATAAACATAAAAGAATAATTTTACTCTAATGGTTAATTGTGGTTTAGATTGTCTTTTTTACCTGATTTGTTATTTGTTTAATTTGTTTGTTATTTTCATTCGTGAGCATTTGATTAATACTCAGCGTTGTAATAGTGAACCATTAAGAACACTTGCTACATAACCTAGGGTAGAAGTAGGGATTTGTTTGACGCACTTTAAAAAATAAAACTATTTAAGTTAAGAAATTGACCGAAATCAAATAAAACACACGCTAACACTTCGTCAAAGTTTTTAACCAAGTCTCGGACAAGAACACAATTTTAACATGACAAAACCAAAAGCTACTTACGAACGTGTCATAAACGTGAATGGGTTGACTCTTTGTAAAAAGAGACCTTTTAAACTTTATAACTCCTGTTGTGGGTATGAAACTTTAATTCCTCTTGAATATGAGAATTGTAGTTTTAAGAATATATTTGATTTTACTGACACTGACAGCGTGCTTAACTGAAAATATTCGCACATTTGTTATACTTTATGAACTTTGAAGGAGACAAAATCAATTTTCCTCTTCAAACTGCACTTCATCAAGTATTGCAATAGTAAAAACAAAGTTTTCTTTTTAACTTCTTACCATATTGGATTGTATACATTAATTTCGAGTTAAGTCTTCACTTTATATCTTTAATCGATCTATTCGAATGATCTTTCCTGGTTTGCGAAGCTGTGCACGTAAATATTTATACAATTCTAAGATACAACATTTTTTTGCTTCCTAATGAGGTATTTAGCTTAGAGCTTGCTAGCTAAGAAGACATCGTCTTTAATTGTTTTGTTCCAAAGCACTTACAATTTGAAATATACAGATGTAAGACGTTAATGCCAAAGATATTTCATGTGACTGAGACAGTTCATAACCAAAATGTGTATTGCACCATTACCAGGTTATTGGGTTGTAGGTTTATTCATACAAAGAACATGTGTGCCTACAGTAGGAGACACATTTAAGATGGTATGAATTTTCTGCCCAGTACAGTGAAGATCGTTCCGGAAAGAAATCAGTTGCTGTCGAATTATCATCACTATGCCTTTATTGTGTAAAATCTTTTAACATTAAGAAAGGTATACATTACCTTTCTACAATCTGTTACTCGATATTAAAGTCACTATAGATATTTTAATGTACAATATCAAAAGATAAAGTCGTGTTTATAGTTTTTAATGATATGAAATGATTTATTTTGCTATTTTGAATGCCAGTTTGGTATTCCAAAAATCTAAATTATTTTAAAACGCATCACTATAATACTTGCTAAATTCATCGTACCACATGTATGTAATTTAAAATATTATTATTATAGTGAGAATTTAATTACCGGTACATACTAAAATGTCTTTTTGAATTAAACAAATTCAGTGCCTCTTAAACAATTCACTGGGGATAATTGAAGTTGTAGATAAAAAACTTAAGCAAGTTGTAAATAACACCTCCAGTAACATTACTTGAGTCAACTTTGTTATTGCTAATTTCAAACAATCAATATTATGTGCACTATAAATTAAAACACCGTGTTTCACAACATTATTCCTGTAATTCTATCATACTTTAACAGTAAATAATTACACGTTTAAGAACAACAACAATGTAAAATAAATACTTGTCCAATGAAAATTTAATGCATCCAGCTTATGACGTCAGAACAATCTGAAAATCATTTGTTATATTGTTGTATATGAAATTCACAATACAATTCTTGGTTTGTAAGTTAAATATATGAAAACACAAAAATTGCTTTTTATATAGTATTAAAGTTGCCATTACAACTACTTACATTCTCTATGTCAGGTCTGTGACCCTATAGCCGCAGAATGGCGCAGTATTGGACATTAAGCTTTATAGCCAGAACCTCTATCCCCCTCCCACTATCATTTAATCCAGATAGTTTGTTCTTCTTCTATCCAACTCAAACTAATAGTTTCATTATCGTTTAATTGGTTTTATCATATTCATTTATGTTCGTAAAGACATTTAAAGGTATTTGTAACCACTCAAACATTATAGTTTATTCAAAATTACGACGGAAATCGAGTTTGTACAGATAAATATATTGTTTACGGCGTTTTTTAGAATTGAAAGTCCACTAATATTAAAATGCCTCCAATCTTTGGCAATTGAATTGTTATTAGAATAAGCTGTTAAAGTAGATGCGTTAGAATACGCATTTCCGTAATGAATTGATATTTAGGAAATTATTAATTGTTAATAAGTCCCAGTTACAAATAACAATCCGACCAAAAGTTTTATTCGCGAGGTGCCGCAAATGTTACCAACTTAAATTAATAACGTTTAAACAAAAGAAGTGTTGTACTCTCTCGTCACAGTTTTGCCATCGCATTTTACGGGGTTGCACAGAATGTAATACAGTGGAACCTTGATAAGAAGACCCTCGATAACAAGTCACCCTTGATAACAAGTGTCATTTTCAAATCCCCTTAAAATTATTGTAACCCTAATCACATATTATTATAAACCTCGATAAGAAGACATCCTTGATAACAAGTCTTATTTTACAATCCCCATGAGAGTCTTGTTATCAAGGTTCTACTGTAGTATTCTTACTTTTTTATTGTAATTTGGCATACAGTGTTTATGCAAAATAGCTGTTACTGATTTAGATGTAGTGTTTATCCTCAGTCTAAAAGTGTTTTTTTTTTTGTTCCAGGAATGTCGGTGATGGGAAGAAATGATAAGTCGTAACCGTGACATTAAAACGATTTTTGGTAATAACAAGACGTTAATGCATTCATTACTCTCTCACGATGATTTACATTCTAGTTTATTCTATTTTAGAAACATTTTGGTAGGTTTAAAACACAATACTATATTTTAATCTCTCTAACTAGCGTTTTGGCATAATATTTTGAGAAAATTATGTTTTGCGTTTACAATAGGTATTGACAAAAACCAGAGTTAGTCGTGTGGAAATGTGGGTTCTCTAACAAAACGTGAGTAGTGTAAAAATGTGGTTTATAGAACACTAAAGTGGGCACCGGGGTGTCGTATGCCTCCTCCACGGCACGCGTCCAATGTCCACCTCGGCCCGGCGCTTCGTCCAGAGTCTTACAGGTCGACGACAGTCAAGTCCCGGGGACACAGCGGCATCTTCCACGCGCCTCGTGCACGGCCATCATGAGCTTGACGAGATAGCCGTCGTCTCCTGCAACGCCACCCCTAGCCAGGTCAAGTATGGCAGTGGGCCTTTGTCTGCGGCCGCCAACGGCCCGAGGATTGTGCCTGGTGAGTGATGAGTTTTGACTATTAAATACTTTAGTTACACAGTATCAGCACAGACAAAAAGAATTAAATATATAGACCGTCGGCTGAGCTGAGGTTACCATAGGTTCTGGCACACACCACTGGGAGCTCCATGTAGCTACGGCCTACACGCTAAGTAACTACATAGCGCTCCCAGCGGTGTGCGCCAGAACCTATGGTAACCATTATAGCCACAGCACGGCTGACAGTCTGTATTTAATTATTTTTGTCTATGGTATCAGTAAACGTGTTTTGCTATTGATAAAATTACGTATAATATAAATGAATGAATGAATCCTTTATTATTTCATTACTGAACATCAGTTACAATGGTACAAACGACGATTTCTGAAATGTAATCCCCAAATGCCTGTGGTTGGGGATTGAGTCTATCACCCGCACAATACAATAATACATTTAGGATACTTTTAAAAAGGGAAAATAATAAATATTGTACACAGAATTTTGTTTACAAGAAAAGATAAATAATTAAAAAAAAAACTAGTTTACGAGATAAATATATACAAAACGATACAGTGTATGAAAAATGAGTGCATGAATATGAATGCTGATTCCTTAGTTTATTAAATGTATTATAAATATTGCATAGTTATAGCATACGGACATATAAAAAGAAGACCGGGAATATGTTATTTTAACTTTTGAATAACATATCTTGCATTTGCTGCATTTGACACCATTGCGTGTATACCACTAAGTAAAAACAAGATGACCACGAAAAAATCATTTAAATCGTCTACCAACGACGTTTTTACAATGGTACTTGGAGGAACTGGAGTGCGTTATCCAAACCACCAGTTTAGAATAAAACAGAAAAATAATGATCATAACAAGATCAAGAAGAACATTATAACGGATGCTATTTACTTACATTTAACTTATTTAGCTCATATTTACGGTTGAAACTGTCATTGTAAAATACCGCTCTGCTCTTTACATATTATCCATTTATGACTAGCTTTTTTAAAATGATAATTAAAATGATAATCTATGAAATGGTCTCCATGTGGCTAAAAGATTCAATTTTTAAAAACAAACGTTACCTAAATACAGTTGCAGTACATTTCTTGTCGGAAATTCATTATTTTGAATAAATATATTGCATTCAGCATATTTTAGTTATATTAGTATGTAGTTATATAGTTATATTTAGTATATTTCAACATCACAATGAAGGTGGTTATGGTGATTAAGCTCTTTTGTCCGTCCCAATAATTGACAAAATAGTAATTAAATTATATAAGAACAATAAACCCTTGTTTCTTGATCCGAAAACAATAGTAGTTTTTCTGATGCATGTTGAACAAAATACTAATAAAGAATATATGCTGCCAAACTTATAAAATTTAATAGCGAGGTTTATGCAAAATTAATTTTGTTATCGTTTATAATTAATACCCCCTTTTGATTTTATACTGTCGAATTTTGACCAGCCAATATAATAACATTATTTTATTGTTTTTATTTTATCTTTCTAGTCATTGCTGATTTTACCTAAAAATAACATATGAGAAAAATTCCGAAAAAAGTTATAACGTATAATAATAGACTAACTTATCTACATTCGTAAAGTCACAACCATGTCAAAATATTTTTTACCGCCTTTCTCATTGATTCAACATTTAAATCCACTTTGTTACGGCTAGTGTAAATCGGCTAATTTCAACGTGAAGCTTATGATAAATAACAAACACGTCGTGCACTGATATCTTTTACAATGTTTCTTTGTGAGTTTATATTTACGAGAGAGGGATTTTATTTTAAATTATGATTATGCCTCAAAATGTATTCTCTTTGTTTGCAGTCCAACAAAACCCTATTTATTATTACTCGTATTTACCCTTATCTGCATTATTCCCAATAAAATGTATTTATTATCTATGTATGTATATAAACACACTTAACAATACAAGCTTAAAACACATAAATGAATATATAATGCCCAAAAATATACAATAAAACCAAAAACAACTCCCCTACAGCAAATTCGCCGACTTTATGTTTTTTCTAAATGTAAAAATGTTCACAATCTTTTGTATCTTATGTATTTTATAATAGGTTACCTGGATGTGCATATCACTTTTGGTTTTGAATGTATTAAGTTGAATAAGAAAATACATATGTATTACAAATAATACAGAAGAGATTGTATTTAGATAGTTATGTAAATAGTTAAGATGTTAGTCATAGTAACATATTATTTATACAATAATTGCTTAGCACCCGATATATATAATATATCATATTGTAATTGTATGAATAATTAAATTGGCAATTAACCAGCATTAGATACATTTTTTCATATATTAATGAACATTTTAGGGTAACCTTGACGATGGAGATAATTGAATAACATTTGTATGTAAACATGAAAACAATAAAAATACAAAGGTGCAAACAATCAAAAGCCATGTGTTATAGAGTATAACGTTCATTCTATAAAGCACTGATTTGCTAACAGAAAACATCTAGGAGTTCCTTTCATTTACATAATAATTATTTTACTTGGGTATAAGATTATAAGATTGTTAGATGTTAAATGTGTGACGTAAATGCATTTATAAGCTATAATTTGCTTGCTTGTGTAAATATTGTATAACAATTAAATTAAAAATAAACATTTAAAACAAAAAAATAGATGTATTAAATTTGATTTAGTTTTGTTTTTGAAACAAAGCTGAGATTAAAACTGATTATATTTATTTCCCAGAAAACAAAACAAGTCAGTTTTGTTATTGTAAATTGAACTGCGTATGTTGTTAGTAATCATACAAAGAATCAAAAATGTATTTATTCAATATAATAAATAAATAGTAAAAAAATATTAGTTTTAAACTAAAACCATCCATAGAAAAGTACTTTTACATAAACTGTGATTGAGTTTCCGTGTGAAATAAGTAATTTTTAACCAAGTGTTCCTTCAGTCAATATTCAAATACTCATATACTTAACCTTTTCGTAACTGTTGTATTTTTTATCAAACCTTTTGGTACACCAAAGATATGTTAAAAACTATTGTTTAAACTGATTGCCACAAAAACTAAATCATAAAGAAAGATGATGTTCACCTAAATATATTTACAATTTTAAAGCAAAAACAATAAATAAATGAACGTAGTAAGCCATACATGTTTGAAATATAATGATTTAATTACACAGCTACGGCAGCTACACAGCAAATGAACTAAAATTCAACTAAGAACAATGGATACAATAGAAACAATGACGTAGGATAAACAATGGAATACAAACCTACAAGCAATTAGGTTGTGTTTCGTATGATACCTAGAATATTTTCAGAGTAATTTTAACAATAGTGTAGATTTATGAAACTCCTAGTTTAGCGTAGTTGTATATTATATTATAACTGTTATTATATTATAAACATGCTCAGCTGCTTTTTACAGCTTTTAAAAAGATTAAGCTAAGTAATACTAATTATATTTACTACCAAACACGCGATTATTACATCCAATGTAAAACAGAAACTAAAAAAAAAAAACATTTAAAAATAATACCGTATCATTGGGACTGAAGCCTGATCAGGATCTGTAAAAAGCACATTTTTAAATTAATATTAAACTTGCGGAACCCACAATCTATCAGCAGAAATATTACCAAGGAATTTTAAATGTGTAGAAACCATCTCCAAAAATATTTCTGAAGCATCTGAGTTCTTCTTCGGTGGATATTTGTCTATAAACTAAAAAATGGTTCAGTACATTTTTAAATTTCTCTGTAAACAACGGTGCATAGTTAAAAATGTTGAGTATTAATTTATGGAAATATAATATAACAAATATATTTTATTTTGTGTCGTGTTATGAAAGAACACGGCCCAAGTGGTATTATGATTGACAATTCGCCGGTATTCAAGGACTGCGTTGAAGACTCCAATGGTAAATGGTAAATGATAAACAACGGCCTTATGTTTAAAGCACTGCCCACTAATAAACCTAAAAAAGAGAACCAGAATCGGTTCTGTTTGAAATCGAGATTTAATACTTAGATTTTTACAAGAATTCTTAAATATTTTTACACCCAGTATGAACTTGTATTTTCCCAGATAAATTTGATTTCAAATCTGTATTCCAAACGAGCAATGAGTTTTTTTTTAATTTGGGCTGGTTCAATTAAGAAGTGATACGTCAGTAACAACGTATATCAGTGACTTAAATACGTTTTGGCATATAATTAATACCACATCGAATAAAGAATTTCTACCACAGCGGTTAAATAAACTACTAAATAGACATGCATTATAATACACACATCATTATAATAATGTTGACTGCATTATAAATGTTTAATATGAATAGATTTTACACAATACAGCCATACTGGATTTTGAAATCCCAAACCCACTCTGAATAGAGTTTCTGGACTACGCTACGCTATTTATGTAATTCGGGAAGAGAAGCACAGTTTGGAATAGCACCAGTTTGCATCTCATGTGTATGCAAATTACATTGTATATTCTGCTTATTGGAGTTGCTCAGATCATTCTGCTCAGAAAAACCTATGTTTGCGAAAGCAGAGAAATGAAATGCTAGAATTTGATTTGCAAGCAATATAATGTTTTGCACTAAAAAACTTTGATAACATTTGTTAAATATTATATATATCAATATTTGTATTACATCTATTGAATACGAAGCTTGGTTTAATGTTAAATTCGACTATGAAAACATGTTTACAAGTTTTTTATATTGGTTTCAAACTAAGCTATTTTTTTGTTTGAATGCAAATAAAATTTAACCACGGAAACAAATTGTCAGACTGTTACTATGCCAGTGGCATTTTTAAAAGTTTTTGTGAGGGAACGGTCTAAACCTGGTCCTGTTGCTATCCAACGACGACATTTTGTTAGATAAAATCATAAATTGATAGATCTACGACAAATACCATCTGGGTATCGCTTAGAATCGAACCACTACCCAGACAATTAAAGCTATATAATT